GCGGCGGTGCCCCGCACTTCCCCGCCGCTGCCCTGCCCGCGCCTGCCTTCTTCACCGCCGTCTCCCAGCTGGAGCCCCACGGCCTGGAGCTGGCAGCCGTCGCTGGCACCCCTGAGAGGCAGGCTCTGGTGGGCCTGGCACAGCCTACCCCAAAGGTCAGCCACCGCCCTGGCCCCCAGCGGGCCTGTAGACCTCGCTGACGGGGTGTCTGCAACCTGCCTCTGGGGTAGATGTGGCAAAGAGCAAAGCTTGAGGCCTCGCAGGTTGTGGTACAGACTCTTTTGTTATGCCCCTAAAAGCTTTGAAGATATGAGGTGCAAGAGGTATGAGGCCCTCTACAGCAGGGACATGCAGGACTGACTGACAACCTGCTCTGTACAAACCCTTGTCTCTCCTATATCCTTACACCCTCATGGTTGCAGAATTGCTGCTCCTGCCTGGAGGCCATGCACAAGTCAATTTTAAACCTTGTTTCACGAGGGTAAGCTACAATTGCTGAGTTTTCTTCAGCAAAATGCCCATTTCCATAGTGGTGTAGTCCAGAAAGTATCTGTACTGACCAAAGCCTGCAGCTTGTCCACACACAAATGTGTCTAAGCTGGCTCTGCACTTTTTGGCTGTGACATTTCCTGAGCACCTCAGTGGAAGCACTGCTGTGGCATGAGCTGCACAGGAATTAACCGTAAAGTGATTGGTTTCATTAACCCATTTGCATGGCATTTTGCATATTTACAGCACCTAGAAAATCAAAGAACAGACAACTTGAATAGTTCTCCATTTCCAGAGCTGTTAGCTTTGAAGAATCCATCAGGAACATGATCAAAACATATAGTTTTGTATTATAATGTTGGAAAATACTGAATTAGAAATTATTTAGGAAAAAAAAACATAGCACATGCTCGAAAATGTAACTCCATTGCAATCCTACACACCTTCTAGATAGATACACTTAGCTCTAGTCATCTGCTTACAGCCTGTTGCCATCAGGGAGGCAGTCAAAGATTAAGGCTAAGCAAGTACTTACTGCTTTGCTGAGTAAGGGTGGAGTGCTAAATCAGCTTCTGAAGCACAGGTTACACCCCACAAACTCTTAATCAAATTCTTATTCTTCTAATTCTGCTACCAGAGGTGTGTTATTGTGTAACAGCGTAAAGGATGACACCACGTTTTGATAATTTTTTTCCCCTTGATGCAATAATTTCATTCTCCCTTCATCCTTCCCTGGGGAACTGGTTCTGTAGTACGGTTCATCCTCAGAGAAGAGGGGCAGAGAGTAGTGTGTAGTGAGCCCAGTGAAAGCAATGCCCTCTGCTTGCAGAATATGAGAGTGCACGCTCTCTATTGGGTAGAAGCATGACGAGCTGAATGGTAGCTGTAGGGGAGAGCAAGATGAGGCTGCCTTGGTGACACTGCATGAAGTTGCTTTATTTTCTTTTTGACATTAGTACCCTCATGAAGTCAACAGTACCCCTATGTATATCTACGAAGTGGCCACCGAGTCCGTCTGTGAGTCAGCGGCCAGGCTTCTGTTCATGAGCATCAAGTGGGCCAAGAGTGTCCCAGCCTTCTCCACCTTGTCCTTACAAGACCAGGTAAGGCACCTCCAGTGTGAGTGGCATTGGTATGGCCTGCCTGGAGAAGAAGGTTCAGATCTCAGATTTGGTCTTGAACCTTCAGCCCTAGACCTTTAAATTCATAATGGACTTCAGCAGTTCTGAAGTTCAGAGCAGAGTTTTGGTCTGTCCTGAAAAACAGGCAGTGATTTAGAAACTGATTCACTTCAACTTTTATTTTGTGAAGCAATTGAAAATCAAAACAGGAAAAAATTTAATACAAAGTATTATGGGAGGACAAGTTCTAGAGGAAAAGTCAGCAGGCTGCAGACCAAGCTCAACATGCCAAAACTGCTTGCTCTACTTTTGGGATGTTTCCCTTCCATAAAGTTTGGAACAGCATCTTACTTTGCTATTTTGGGATGAGAAGTACTTAGTTAAGCAAACGGCCTCAGGACATGACTGAAGTGATTTCTGAAGACCATTCCTCTCCTCTCCTCTCCTCTCCTCTCCTCTCCTCTCCTCTCCTCTCCTCTCTGTTATAATTACCCACAATCAGATAATTATAAAATGGGAGGCAGAAAATCTACACAAAGCTCAAATCATAAAAGACTTCTAATACTTTTATATGATTGAGCTAATTTCCCAAAATGGTAACTAGGAACATTGTGCCTTAGATGTTACATGGCATTCATCAGAGGAATTCATTCTTTTCCATGGATCCATGTTGCAAGTGTTCCATGCAACATGGATCACTTGCAAATATCTATTTTGAACTGAAAGAAAAGAGCTTCTTACAAAACCTGTATTTTTTTCTACCTAAAGATAAATCATGATGGTCACAATGTGATACGAAGCTAAGGTACATTGAAATGTTCCTTTTCTAGCAGCAGACACATGTTTTAAAATCCTCGTCATAAGATTAAACAAAGGGTGATGCTGCTGAGCACCGGCTGCAGTGCTGCTGGGTAGTGAACATGAGAGGAACGATGAGATAGGGCCCAAGAGGTTACAGACACCATTAGGAAGACAGCAGTCCCAGTGTGGCATGCTGCTCTCTAATGGTGTCTGCTGCTGCTGCTCCTGGGTCTGAAGCACTGGAAGTGCTGGAGCAACTGGATCGGTCATACCAAGCAACTAAAGAAACAGGCCCAAATCTCAAGGACAAGTAGCAAGTGTGTCACTACAGCAGGAACCATGGGAAGAGGCTGGGTGCACCCCTGGAGTAGTGATGTCCACAGGAGGCTCCTTCGATAAAGGCTTTGACGTTAGGGATGCATCTCCCACAAGGTCATCTCTGTTAGTATGCAGAGGAGGGGCCAGCAGGATTTGGGAGCAAGCGTAGTTTCCATTGCACACGACCAAGCATGCCTCAGACAGCGAGGCCATCACCATACTCTTCCTATTATCTTTAAATAACCCACTGTCTCTTTGACTTTCATAGCAGGGACTCATGTTAATGTGTTACATATTAAAGTTCAAGCCTCTTCTCAACACCACCTTTACTTGCTGTACCATGTTGAAAGCCAGATTCCTCAAGACTCAGAGCTGTGCAGCTCTGAAGCTTTACCCTGGGCAATAACTTTCTGATTTTTATCACCTTATTTCATGAATAACCAGATAGTTGATTTTTATAGTAGTGTAACTGCATTATTTGATTTGACAATGGCCCAGCTGTAAGTGCCTGCATTTCTCTTTCTGTATCCCTGACATCTGCCTGAGGAGAGTCTAAAACCTTTTCCTGGATTTTGCTTTATTTTTGTGCTTTTCCAAAGAGGCAAGCATATTGTGATTCTGGGACTCTGTGACAGTTCCATCTTGAAGGCAAGGAAATAAGTAGAAACTAATTTGCTGACAAAACACAAGTCCGAGGATTGCTGTGTCACGACCCTCAGGAGAACAGTGGTTGTGTTCCTTCTCCAGCTCCATACAGTTCATCCCATTGTGAATTGGAAGACACTTAACTAAAATGCCATGCTTGGAGTTCTGCTGGCCTGCAGACACCTGCCCAGCTTGTCTGTAAGACAGGCTAGCCCAATGCAGGTTCCCAACAAAAGGTCGTACTTACAGGATGGCTTTAAGAAGCAAAACCAGTCCTCCAGAAAGCCTGGTATTTCTTCTTTCTTTGAGGAAGGAGGGTAATTATTTTAATCAGTGGTTTTACAGACTTATGCATAGGCATGAAGAATGCTTCAGCTATTGGAATAGTCTCTTATTTCTAAAGTCTTCTGACTTTGAAGACTTAGTGAGAAAGAACATATGAAAATGATATCTTTCAGGAACCACCATTCATTACCATTGTATCTGCATGAATGAATGACAAAAAAAGTTTCATAAAAGCAAATGAAAGGCTGGTGAATCATTTCCTATGTCATAATGAAACCTGCACATCCCTCAGGCAGGATTATCCGGAGGAGGGTCTGGGTTCACAGGCTGCAGCAGTTACACCTATGGGCAGGTTCAGCTGCTCGCAGAACAGAGCTGAGATGGGCACTGCACTCTAGACACACCCTACACCCCCACACCTCCTGTGTCATACAATAATCCGGGCAGCTTCCAGTACTGTAAAATCCAGTGTAACTATTTCAAACAGCAATTGTACATAGGGACAGAAATGCTTTCCTGTCACAATTTCCTTAGACAGGTTATGTAGAAGTTCTGCAAAGCACATGGTGCAGAAAGGCACAAAACTGGTGAAAGCGTGCGGTGACAAGCTGAGGGCAGAGACTCTGAGCTCTTCCTCCCATTCTGGTCAAGCAGGATGGTTTAAAACTCACCATGCTGTTCAGAGTTAGCACATAGAGGAATGAAACACTTCTACTGCATGCTTTCTCTACAATCTATTACTTTCACACATCTGATTCCAAGGAAACCACCACCCATTTGTTACAACATATATTTTTACTTTGCTGTTCCTTAACAACTCTTTATAGACTTAAAACAACCTCCTTCCTATTTTCCTGAGAAGCTAAGCTGCTGATACTTCCAGGGACCACATCAATATTACTGCTTGTGGTTTGGGTTTTTTTTTTTTGCTGCGTGTGTTTTGGGCAATCTGTTTTCACTGCATGCAGCTACAAGATGATACCTCCTGAGGTCATTACAGTTCTCTCCCCTCCAAACCTCTCCCATCCTGTTGAGAGGCATGAGGTCCCAGCAATGTGTATGCACCACAGTATGTTCTTTAGGCCATGAACTTCAGCTGACCTGGGGGCCCTCCAAACTCCTCTTAAGAGTCGGTCTGGGCCAACAATCCATAGATGCCCTCAAGACTAAACGTACCTGTTCTGCCTTTGCCAGTCTGCATTACCAAGAGTCTTGTCTCCTCTTCAGATGCACCACTGCCTCTCCACAGAAATCAAAGGCATTGCCACCAAACAGAGCAAAACACCTCCTCCATACAACCAGGCAATGTACCAAAATTGCAGAGAACTACCAATGCTGTCAGTGTAGGTGCTTGGATACTCAGTAGTCTAAAAGGAAGCAGCCCCTAGTGCCTGGAATTTCTGAGTGATTGTGAGCAAAAAGCAAGACAACAGGTGACACTGAGAAAACCTACATGCATCCACATGCTGTACTTGAAAGTGCTAAAGACTTGCTTAGTAAGGAAGGGGTTAAAGATACATATGAGCTCTAAATCAGTGCTCCCTAAAAGTGATGTAATTTCAGGACATTGTCTAGGCTGTTCTTCACATGTCCTGCCTTCCTGAGGGAAAGGAGGGTGATCCCTAGGGAGCAATAGGAGAGCACCCACCCAACTTGCCCTAGGTCAGCTATCTGTGAAGGGAGAGGAGGAGAGAGCTCATGCTGTGCTGAGAAACACAGGCGAGTGCTCATGTTTTGAGCAAGCTCCCTGGGGTAGTTCTCACTCTCCTTTCTCTTTCTCTTCCCTTTTGCTCCACAACATGGTGCACAGTGAGCCCAGCCTCAGCGTTTTTCTACAACGCAGGGACCTATTTCTTGTCACCTTCTCAAAAAGCTAAGAGAAGACCTAATGAATGCTGTGGGAAAAATACCATGACAGGCATTTCAAGAAGTTTTTAAAATAACAGAAATTTACATATTTAAATTGTTTATAAATCTATAAATTATACACTATGTTATATTGTACATCTATTGTATGACAGCTGATGCTTTTGGAAGATGCTTGGAGAGAACTGTTTGTTCTAGGAATAGCACAATGGGCCATTCCAGTTGATGCTAACACTCTACTGGCTGTATCTGGTAAGAATTGCACAATTTAATGACTTTGTTACAAAAATTACCATAAAAATACATTACTGAAAAAAGAACAACATGTAAAGAATAACAAATTCCTACTGAACAATAGAACATACCTGTCATTTATAAATCTATATTTAAATGCAAATAATGTTGTTTTGTGGTATTCATGACTGCTTGCATTGTCATTTAAATGCAAATTACTGTGTTTGTTATCATCCAAGAGAAGATTTTATATTAACTTTCATACAATATAGTCAGTTTACATGGAACCAGATAGACAAGTGTGACAATGGAGTGGATATTGATACAGAGTATTTTGTCAGAAATCAACATAAAATAAAGCAAATGCCTTTAATGTTATTTATTTCATCTGTTTCTGTCTTAGGCATGAACGGTGACAATACAGATTCTCAGAAGCTGAATAAAATTATTTCAGAAATACAGGCTTTACAGGAGGTTGTGGCTAGATTTAGACAACTTCGGCTAGATGCTACCGAATTTGCCTGTCTCAAATGCATTGTCACTTTTAAAGCTGGTAAGTAAAAAGAATCTCTTGCTCATCTGGTCTGGTAACTACGAGGCTGCTACTTTAAAGCAAACCTGATGTTTTAAACCAGACACAGCTTTGTATCATCCAACGGGTTTTCCAGTATTGAATTCCAATGGGCAGTGTTGAATTTTGAAAGTCTGACAGTGGAGTGCTGGGAACTAATGGGAACGTTTAATTTCCACTGATAGCACTAGCTGAACTGTTTTGACCCACACAAGAGTCAAGCTGATCTAGTAACTGATCTGCTTTCCAGTGCCTACACACAGTGGTTCCGAACTAAGGAGTTTCCGAAATGCTGCTGCCATAGCAGCCCTTCAAGATGAAGCCCAGCTCACTCTGAACAGCTACATTCATACCAGGTGAGTGATATCCTCTTGCAATACTTCTTGCAGCTGTAGGGGTAAAATCCTGCTCTCACTGTAGTGAAGGCGACATTTCCACTGACCAGAACAGGGACAGGACAGCAAGTACAGATCGGCTGTCAGCCTGCTGGAGTTTGGCATCTCCTGATGAGATAGAATCATAGAAAAGGTTGGAAAAGACTCTTAAAATCATGTCCAATCATTAACCTAACACTGCCAAGTCCACCACTAAACTATGACTCTAAGTGCCACACTGACATGTCCTGTTAAATACCTTCAGGGATGGTGACTGAAACACATTCTGGGCAGCCTGTTCCAGTGCTTGATAACCCTTTCAGAGAGTAATGTTTTCTTAATGTCCAATCCAAACCTCCCCTGGTGCAGCTTGAGGCCCCTTCCTCTCATCCTACCATTTGCTACTTGGGAAAAGAGACTGACACCCACCCCACTACAACGCCCTTTCAGGTAGCTGCAGAGTTGTAACGTCTCCCCTGAGACTCTTTTTCTCCAGCTCCCTCAGCCACTCCTTATAAGAGCTGTAGTCTAGACCCTTCACCAGCTTCATTGCTCTTCTTTGGATGCACTCCAGAGCCTAAATTTATTCAGACAAATGTAAAAAGCACTAGAAGGATAGATTTTTCCCTGGGAAGGGGTACCTGCTGTGGTACCTTTGCAGTTCAGAAGGCTGCATTTTCCTCTACATTTAATTCAGTTAAGTTTATTCATTTTATTCGCTAGCAGTGATGCTCAAAACACCACATCTCTAGCAGTATGAGCACTTTCCACCCAAGATCTCCAGTCCCCACATCATCTTCCCCTGCTGTTTAGACACAGAAATAGGGATGTAAGCAAGTTAAATGGCTCTTCCAATATGCTACCCTGAGTCTGTTCTCAGGTTGAAATGAAAACCCCAGAACTTAGGAATCCCATTTTGGTGTGGCAACAGGAGTGATGAGAATCATTGTTTGGAAAGAAAATATTCCCCCTTGTCTTATTCAGGATAAGTCCCATGGGATACAGAAATCTTAAAACCTGCTGTGAAAGCTGTAGCTGTCACCTCACAAAGTGTACAGAGGTGAGCCCAGGAATACACAAAATGCCCAAGCCCACGCTCTAGAACAGCTGGCTTTGGACAGATCAGTAGCCTCCTCCTATGGACCACTTCACAGGGGTGGGACAGGGGAGAAGCCTGAAGATGCACCTAACATCTTCTGCAACAGCTGCCCCACCTGGTTCAAGACTTCTGGGGAGAGTAGCGACAGGTCTTGTAAAGTCCATGTCTAAGTCCTTTAGCTGCAGCAGAGGCGCATGAGACTAGCCCAGTGGGAGATGAAGCAGTGGAAGAGAAACTTTCACACCACTTTTCCTTCTGAAATCTTAATTTGCTCTCATAATAGCTCTGTCTAGCAGACGTCCACCCAGTATCAGAGATTAGATGGCAGCAGTCTTTGAAGCACTTCTGTTTAGTCTAAATACATAATGTGTGTTGTGCTGGCTTCAAAAGCTGGGAGAAAGGATAGAAATTATACTAGTAGATGAACACATTACCTGGGGAGAAAATACAGCTTCTTTAACAAGAAAAACTATTTCCAAATGTCAATTGGCCTTCAACATACCTGGAAACCTAAATGGGGCAAAATAATTACCATGACAATCCAGCTAGGTTTAAATTGCATTTTAAATGACAGAGCATTTATTATAGGTCAAGCTCTTCCCTGAACTCCATCAAGAACATAGTTGTATAAGGGACACATCAGAGCAGATCCTGTCTCTGTATTGCTGCTGTTCTGAGGGAATAAACAAAGGAGCTAATCAAAACTCAGAGACATTGGTCTATATTCTGCTAACCTCCACCAAGAGGGTTTTCCTTGGGGGTCAACATTCTTGCTCATGTGAGTAAACACAGGGGTTTAGCACAGGTAGCACCCACCTGCATGATTTGTTGGATATTGGTCCTTTCTAGAAAGTAAAAGACTTTCTTTGAAAAAAATACTTTAAAACTTCAAAACCATTTTTTTCTCTCTCTGTCTCCCAGGTATCCCACACAACCCTGTCGTTTTGGAAAACTCTTATTGCTTTTACCAGCTTTACGTTCGATTAGTCCATCTACAATAGAAGAGGTGTTTTTCAAAAAGACCATTGGGAATGTACCAATTACAAGACTGCTTTCAGACATGTACAAATCCAGCGACATATAGATTACCTTAAAAAAAACAATCAGGATGGACAGTTTGAGAAGAACTTTTATCTATGGAGAATAAGCCTCAACTAACAAAATCTACAGGAAGCATAAGCCTGGGAATGTTTAGCCTTTAAACCCATTGACAAAAAAATACCCCAGTAGATATGATTCTGCTGCTCTGAACAGAGTGATTTATATCATGGAGAGAATGCTTTGTTCTACAGAAAAAGTGAAACTGGTTGGAATTTGGCTGCTATTCCTGTTACTACAGGATGGAGGCAATTCAGATGCCAGTCATAGTTAACAAAGACTCTGCTATTCTCTCATTTAACTGGCAGATCTGAGACAAAATGTGAAAGAAGGTACTTTAGTTTTTTCAGTATTTGGAACTGGGTGACTAAACTTGGCTTCTGTTGTAACATGAGACGCTGTGGCCTTCAGAACTGTTTTAAAAGTAGCCTATGTTGGGAAAATGTTTTTAATATGATAGGCAACACTTAAGACCAGGTTACCAAAACATTGCTTCTACTATAATACATCATGAAGTGGCCTTCAGAACTGATTAAAAAGTAGCTTATGACAGCAGCTCCATTCTTCCTGCAAAATAAACTGGTGATCTTTGATGCGATGTCACCACAATTTGTTCGGTTAACATCTCAAAGACAGAAGAGCTTTATACACTTCCTCCCTGACCTTCCCTCCTTCTTCCACACACACCAACACGCATTCACACCCACACCTGAAAAGATACAAGTCAAGAAAGGAAGACTAAAACAGCAAAACCAAATACAATGGAGATGACTGCTTCAGTGACCTGCTGGCTGTCCCGTTGGCACAGTGCTGAAACCAAAGGCAATGGTGGCCGAACTATTTGTCAATGAGATGTGCAGAGAAGTGAAATGACTATTAAAAAAACAATGGAAGGAATTATATTTCAAAGAAATCAAGGTTATTGACTGATACAATGCTAACAATTTCCCAAAAGTCTCCAATGCCTTTTTAGAAAACTCCAGGTTCTAATGTTGAAGCCTTGCCCACCTACACCCTCTCACACACAGAAACATTACAAGCTGCTCTTTTTGTGTATGAAAAAAAAAAAAATGTAGAAAAAACATTTAAAGATAGCTGCTGTACTTTTCAAAATTTGATTTGTTGTTAGGAACTAGCACTGAGAAAAATCAGCACTTGGGACTATCATAGAATGAGTAAAACTTTTCCTGTACAAAGTGGATTAACTGATTTGTGAAGTTAAAAAGTTGTACTCATTGTATTTACAAAGAATAAAAATATATTGAATTTAAATCACTTTCCACTGTTGTTTTAATGCTTGTCCTATTTCTGGATTAGTTTCTTCCACTGTACCCCTACTTACCAAGGAACAGAAATATTCTCTACTGAAAGGGATTGCCTTGGATGCTGTGGAGTCTCTGTCACTGGAGGTTTTAAAACATTAAAGGAACAGCTTGGGTGATCCTGCCATGGGGCAAAGGGACTTCTATGTCCAGCATTACAGCTGTTTCTGTAAATCAGACACCTACTGCAAGGTTTCCTTCCCCAGGGGCTGACACAGACCTTTTTCTAGGACACAATACTAAATGGATCAGAGGTCAAACCTAGTATAAACCTTCTGTTTCGTGTCATTGCAGTTTTCCATACTAGTCAATTGTTCAGCTAACAAAGGGTGATGAGTACAAAACCCTGCTTCACTTTAAAAGACTCTAAGGTTTTATTAATGTATCCAGTTGTGTAATCACACCAACAAAAGAGGCAACTCCCAATGCACTGAACAAGTTGGCAACAGGAGAAGTGAAACGTAGCGTTCATACAGCGATGAGCAACTGAAGAGCCCCACACAATAAAATGACAGGTGGAAGCACACATTGTGTATCAATGGCTCACTGGTTTTCAGCGCCAAGGAATAAAGATCACAAGTGAAATCCTAGCTCCATTGACTCCAAACAGAAAAAACTCACTGTTTATAAATTTAAGTTTTCACCCTAACTCTCTTCCGTTTGCACAGTCTGCTAGGTCTCATGTTCTATCCTTCTGAAGACAGCCAAGATCAGTCTTTTGACGAGTTGGGTGAGAAAAGGCATGGACTACTGGCCTTCAAAACATCTTCCGTGACACCTAGCATGGAGCACTTGAACACAATTACCACAGGGCACAGCACATTCTTCGAAAGAAACCAAAAAACACTTTATGCAGTGTTCTTCCTGCATGTGTAATAACCTTCAATCGTTTGCTGCTCTCTATGCTAAAAAGAACAAGTGACAGGGCAGAGAAATGAATTGTGGTTGTCCACTCTGTGACAGTTCAGGTTATCAGCTAATGGGGTTGGACCCAGCTGTGCAGAACCCACGACACAACAGCTGTTTCTGTAAGATTGACGCTGCAGTCCCAGAGCTGCAATGAACACGTGCTGCAAGGCAACTGTGCTCTGCAGGTCACCCGGGCAAGGGGGTGCAAGGGAGCAATGGCTTTCTCCCAGCTGCAAAGCAGTAGGTGCACACCCGTCTCTCATCTCCTTATCTACAGGACCTAGTCCAGCTGTGGGGCAGGCTCACAGGCTGGGAACAATGCCCATACCTCAGTGATTTAGGCACAGCTCATCTCAGACCCTGTCCTCCTCCCAGTACTGCAGACTGCACAGAAGCAGAGCCAGTGACATTACACTAGAATTAGGGTTTCTAGTTAGGTCCCCAGCCTTGAAGAACTAAAGGCCAAGCGCAATCCTAGTGTCCAGTGCAGATATCCTGTTGTTTTGTCAATTTAATCTTTTGCATACAGATTTCCACAAATGAGGTTAATAGTCTCAGTTTAAGGCGGCTCATAGCTTTGCCACTAAGTTCGTAGGTTGTTCTCAACAGTGATAAGTATTATAAGGAGGAAAAAGCAGCAGAGCCAAGTCTAAGCCAACATGTGCTGTTACCAAATAGCACAGAACACTGGATCAGATAGCTTACTGGAGTCTTCTTAAATACATTTTCAAGAGCATCTGGATAGGTAACTCCCACATCACATTTGAAAGCACTAAAGCAGCTTCTCCAGCAACAGAAGCATCTGGTGAGAAAGAAGACTTCAGCAGTGTTACTTGTGAACTGCAGTCTGGGCATCAACAACATGCACTTCACCCCTGGTCACACAAGCACAATGCTACAGCTTCCACACTTCCTTTAATGCTCAGGGAAGTGGTCTGTGATCACACTAGAGCAGGCTTGCTTAACTTCATAACCCTAATTGTCATTGTAGAGCAAAGCTATCTTAACTGGGGACTAAAATTATAACATGTTATAAGTTATATCAACATCTCTTCCTCCACAGGATGACAATTTCCACTTGTCAGTTGAAGCTGGGTTGATGCTTCTCACACCAGGTAGAAAAGGTACTCTCTTCTCAAACTTACTGAAGCCACAGATACGTTGACTACCTACCTTGAATGGGGTTCCAGCTTTGGCTCCAGGAGATGGAAACAGCCTTCAGTACCTTTGTATGTTCTTTAGCACTCGAGCAGTGAGTGCCAGCATCTAAGAGTATTTAGAGCTGGCTGTTAGTAACACAAGACTGCACTGCAGAAGAGCATCCCAGTAAGGCTGAAACACCAGTTCACTTAATATAGTCAAGTCCCTGCTTCTCAGAAAGCATTAGAAGCCACCCACTCAAGGTCAAGAGTCATGAAATATTTGAAGTGCATTTTCACTTTTATTTCAAAACTTTAGACAAGTTACTTTAGTATATAAATTTGATTTTTTTTCTTCTTACAGAATATAAAGATAATTCCCTCATTACTTCAGTATAAAGTGTTTTACAGGCTTGAAGACAATTGCATAAGTGTTTCTCACACATGGTATCAGAAATAGAGCAGTCTTTCTACAGAAGTTCAGACAGATGACTACCTCAAACAGCATAGCAGTTTAGTGAAATACAAGTGAACACGTGACACTACAACTGTGCAAGTTCAAGTAAGGCCAAGTCAGTAAACATTGTTAAGTCATTGCAAATAAGAGTGGAAGGGTTTGTGAGACATTGCAAGGGGTGGATGGTTTCATAGTACAATACTCTTAAATCAAGGATTCAGAGGGATTTAGCTAGAAGACAAGTGAGTTCTTTAATGCTATAAAGCATATGCAAAGCCCAAGCAGTGTACTCATGTTAATGGAGATTTCGTGCCTGTTTATCCTCAGCATGCCAAGACAAACTATAGCCTCTTAAAACCAAACATAAGAACCACTAAAGTGAGAAGATGGTTTCAGAACTCAAGTATGTCTTATTTTGGATGGTGTGTAGTTTTTGTCTATTACTTCATCTTGTAAAAACATGTGAAGACAGCGCTCATTCTGTGCCAGTGGGTGGCCTGCAACCCTGGAGAGGAAAAAAACCCAAGCATTAGTGCCAACAAATCAAATCTACTTGCAACTAGCCAGCAGAGCAAGGGTTAATAGCAACAACCTATGGTTCTGCACTGAGGCATAGATCCCACTTCCAGTTCACTGTTGGTGACTAGAATGATGTCTGGCAGCAAAATTTGTCATTGTCCTCTATATGAAGTTAGTTTGCAGGAACCCTGGACTACCTCTGATCATTTGGAAGCATGTTATGTCATCATTTGTCACCAGCAATTGAGGAAACTATCAAAGTGCCCATCCTAGCATTAGGAAATCTAGAGTTAAGCAAGCCACGCACGTTTCTGCAGGTTTTGATACCTTGGACACAGGATACCTCTCTAAAGGCTGCTTAACATTTCATTTCTTCAATTCAGTAGCAGTTAGCCCAGGCAGAGTTAGAGAGTTACTCCACCAGGGGGTGTGAAGGTCTTCTAAGGGCTCTGACACCGTTTAGAGCAGCAAGGTACCATAGTCACTGTTCCTAGCATGTACAGGCAGCACTGATACAATTAACAAAATGGCCTGGCTGTGCAAGTGTCTTCAGATATGAAAGAAGATCAAGCTCATCTGCTCTACTGTAGATTTAGTTTTGTTCCACATACAGAGCCACAATCCTTTTAACAGTAAAGAAACTGAAACTGAATTAGAAGACACTCCAAAGCTTGGAAGAAAGCCACAAGGTATTGTATTTAAATCCTTAAAATACCATGCAGTCTTTTGTGTAGGTAAAAATCCAAGAGAATCAATCCTTGGAAGTCAATCATTTATGGATACAAAAATCTAGAGCAGTTCAGTTTGAGAAAGTTACATCCAGTTTGGTCAACCAAGACAGGCTTCTTCCTTTAAAAGAAAAAGCCCTCCATCCTCCCTAGGACAGCTTGTGTCAGTCAGTCTCCATATCTGTCAGCAGATTTCTAGTCTAGATGGAGGTTATCCAGTAGAACACATGTAATACATAGTCAGCTCCAGTGGCTCAGCTTCACTACTTCCAAGCACATTGGTGCATCTCCTCCAAATGTATCTATTAGTGCTTTATCTATTAGTGCTTATTGCACCACAGGACAGACCCACTTGCTATTGAGGTCATCCTTTAATGAGGAAGCTGAGCTCTCCTATTCAGCCTTGATAGATTATTTCAAGTACAGGGATAAAACCTATCAATCTCCCAAGGTTCTAGTAAATGGGCAGCAGTCACAAACATTAGTTCACAAGGAAGAGAGTCTGGAATAACTACTTTGAGTTTCTTAGCCCCATTAGACTGAAGTTGCTGGCCTTGAACTTCAAAAGAGATACAGCAGAAGGTGAGGCAGTAACATGTTCCTTCACCCTTCAAGAAGGCTTGCAATTTCATGGCTGAATTGCAAGACTAGATTTGATCTCTCAGATTCAGCTGTTTCACATGAAAACCTCACTCTGCATTGGCTTTTCCTCAGTATTCTCCACTAAGGTGACCCTTACACATAGCAGCTGCCTCCTCAAGAGTTTTCATGTATCCCAAAGTCAGGCTCAGACAGATAGGAGTATTGTAATATGACCAGGCCTGTGACTCTCATCCTACATTGATGGTGGTAGCAGCAAGTTTGCCCAAGAGCTGACTTAAGTAAGCTGCACTGCTGCAATTCAGTCCTTCGAGATGTAAAAATCTAGAGACAAACTTTGCAACAACATCCACCTTAACTCTCCCTCACTGGCATTAGACACAAAGATCTTTTCTGGATACAGCAATATCAGTTATCTGAGGATTCTTTCTCTGGTTCTAAAGGCAAAGACCAGCTTTGACAACACAGTCATGTGGATGTATTATGCAAATTAACTTCCAGTCTAAGTTCACCAGTAAGTACCCAGAGTAGTTGGCAGAAGCCTTAAAGTTTCTACATGGTTCAAACCTTTAATTAGTAATACCTGCTTGATGAGTTGGTCAACCTAGAAAAAAACTAATGAGGTTGAATAGGTAGTTATGCCTGAAGAGCCTTGTTCCAGCTGTACTCAAGTCTCCTAATACATCAACATCTGCATTAAGTCTGATTTTACATTTCAAAGGAGGAAAAAATGAACGTGAAATTATACACTTCCACAAGATCAATGTATTGCTTGCTCTAGGACTGAACAAGTGATACCAGTAAACTGGCCACTCCATTTCTAACTACATTTGAGTTTTTCAGTGAAAAAACCAGAATCTTCAAAACATTAACAGCCCTATTCCCCTACATATTGCTAGACTCAGCATACAAAACTTCCAGTAAAGGGTACTTCTGCATTTCATGTGGAATCCCAAGCCTGCACAGATAAAAACTGAACTGTACAGTCATGACCACCTTGATTGTGTAGCTGTAAAAAGATTCAACATTCTATCTTAATATAAGCACATCTGCTTTCATGTAGTGTAAATGCAAAATTAGATGCCTTGGAAATTCATTCCACTTGTCTTTGAATAGAAGAGCAGTCTGGAGCATTTTACCTGCTCAGAACCACTAGCAATACCTCAAACTGAGCTAAAAGCCACCTATGCAACAAAAAGGGTTTCATACAGTCACATTTACTTCCATAAGGCAGGCTGTTTTAGTGAACCAGTCACTTGTAACTCCAAGCCACTTACCTGAACTGCGTAATAACTGCTGGGCAGATCCTTTTCTAAATTCTGGCTTAACTCACAGACATGCTCTGTTTAACAGCATTACTACTGGATAAGATTAGCATGCCAGTGGAACAGAGAAGCTTGACAGCCCTCCAAAAGTCCAAGTTTTAGGACTGTGGACTTGGACCTGCCCTAGACTAGATGGTCCTGCTCTGGCAGGGGGGGGTTGGACTCGATCTCTGGAGGTCCCTTCCAACACCTAACATTCTGTGATTCGGGAATACAAGGAACCTCTTCAGACACCAGCCATTGAAGAGGAGAGGTTGACCCTCGTGATTGCTCAGCTTTGTACTCAATATGACACGTGGGATGGAAAACCCTGTTGGTCAGTTTAGGGTCACTTGTCCTGGCTGCTCCTCTCTGCAGGTGCAGCCTTTTACTTTCTGCATTCCCAAACTGGCACAGAGGATTTAGCAGTGACCTTGGTCTGCACACCAATCCCTGGTGGTAACTCTAAACATGGAGCATTATCACTGCTAGAAGCAGACACTGTCTGCAAAAACATGCTGTTAACTTCAGAAAGTACAGTTAGAAGAAACTAAGAAAAGTAAAATCACTGAACAGAACTAATTCTAACTCAAACCAGGACAAGGGAGCAGTCCCAAATCCAGCTGATCTAACCAGTGTTGGCTCTAGAGACCAGAGGAGCTGGGTAACTGACAGTATTCCTTCCTACCCACTGTTTGGATCTGTACTGTAAAAGTTATTAAAAATTAGCTCCTCAGGTCAATATATGGATAGTGGTTGGTCGTGTCAGACAGTAGAAGAATCACAAGACTTTTTTTACTATAAATTTCTGCTCACCCTTTGAAAGGCAGTGACAAAAGTCAAAGTGTCTACTTCAAACTATGCACGTCCATGCTTCAGGTAGTGTTTTTACATCTTCAGAAAGATTCTCATGATGACTTGAGAAAATATGGCTCATTACACAAGCTGATAATACCTCACATCTGCAATCAAAGTGAATGGCTGCAAGCCCATTGTAAACTCCATTGTTTACCCAGTGGAGCATACTTTTTCAGAAACTAAGTAGAAGTATTTTGAATGCTATAATTTTAGTAGTAATTTGCACGAATTAACAACAACTTTAAGACTCATTTCAGCTGTTCAGGTATGCATAAGATATCCAAGCTAAACACTGGATGAACAATGTTAGTGTCCTACTGCTAGATCATGTGAAAGTTATGACTCTGAACCTACTGTAGCTACAGAAGTTGAAGGATTATCAGCCTTCATTTAATTTTCTGGACCCAAGTTCTGGTTTTGTCTTCAGATAACTAGACCCACTTACTTGTTTATGAATTGTTCCAGAGCCTGCTTCCTTTCCTCTATAAAGGAATCATCAAATATGCCATCATCTCCTCGGAAGGGGAGCTGACGGAGAAGTGCTTTCCCTGGTAGAGGTGGTACCACAACCTGAAAGATTTAAAGAAATGCCCTTAAATGCAGCCTGCAAGCAAGTTTATACACATCCTGTGTCACTTCTTTCTCCCAGAGGATCCTACAAAATCACCACCTTAGTCAAGTAATAAAACACAACTAGAGAAGATGAGTATCTGCCCATAGAGGTAAGTTGAATTCAAGTACTTGAACTTTGAATTAACTCAAAGCTATTGAACAGCCTCTAACATTGTGTAACTAAGACTTGCTAAAAGACTTGACAGTGTTTTAGTTCTGGACATTTTCAATCACAGTATCTGCTCTATATGATACATATGGTTTATAACATGATAATACTTCAGCATAACTACTCTCCATATGTCTATGAAGACTTGTACTTTTTATTTTACTCACCTTGCTTTCTCTTTCTAGTTCATTCCTTAGCCATTCAAAGTCACTGTATCGTCTTCTGACTGTAGATTCTTTCAATTTGAAGATAGGTAGATTTGTCTGAAAACAAGAACTTAAGCTACTGATTAAGAAATTATAAGTTTTGATAAGCATAAGCAAGGAACAAACCATTAAGTTACAAATTGGTTCCACTTAAGCAACAACAGTATTGAGAAACACTCAAGATACAGAAATGCAGATAAGCTGTATGAGTTAAGCTGTGTTTCAAACCGCTTAACAGTGGCGGTGGGCCCCATTTATATGGCTTCTTAATCAGTAGTATCTTGCCACCGTATCACCCAGCAGAAAAGCAGATTTGTTGTCCACTTGAGATATTCCTAAGGTTGCACAAGCATCTGCTATTCTTACTGTCTCAGCAGCTGGATCCCCAATGTCAATATATGCACAAAATTGCAGGGGGGGAGAGAGAGGAGGAAGAAAGTCTTCTAATCCACAGACTCCTTTTATTGCATTCAAGGGGGTGTTTCAGCTACTGGCACAGGACATTAACAAAGCTTCCTGTGCTTTTCTGTACCTGATATGACATGGCCTCCAACATCTCTAAATGCAAAACCAGGAAGTCCTACAGTAGATACATTCAGGAGACATGACAGTGAAGATTTGATAGCACAAACTGCCAAGTCTGGATCACTCCAAAGAACCCGAAAAGGATGAGACAACGTAACATTCAGCACTGATGAGATCAGTGTATTTCTCTACAAAGGTAAAACAAGCAGAGCTTGACTAAGCAGAACTTTTCTGAACAAGGCTACAAGTTAGCACTCAGCTCTTAACACACTTGAAAGAGACACCAGATGGGAACCAGGCTATAGTGCTGCCCCAGACAGTGTTAAATACACAAGCACCCCAATACATGCCCTTACACTAACTTGTGTGAAAGCCTGTACCACTTCTGTTCATTCTTGGAGTGCAGCGTTATCCCACTGCTGTAATCCAACTTGCACCTTATTTTAAGAGTCCATACAGCAAGAACTCACCTAATGACACCCCCAGAATGGGAAGCTCCAAGACCACAATCTGAATCTTAAATGTCATTTGAGATGGCAAACTGGCTAACATGTTGCAAAAAAGTTTACAGGGGTTATGGCCTACTAAAAGGAAGACCAAGAGTCTAACTGCCATACATCACTGTTTTCTTCTGTTACTGCTATTTCTGTCAGACTGCATATTCACCAACTCTCTTGATACACCTTTAACAACCACTCCTGAGGAGTGCCCTGGGAACCTGATGTTCACATGGGACTACAGTTATCACCAGTTTCCCTGTTGGCAGAAACACAGCAGTCATTCTCAGCTAGTGCCCCCTAATTTTTTGTTCATTTATTTTTTAAAGTTGTAAGCCACCTCACCCAGCTTCTGGTCACAGTATGAGTGGATATCCCTCTATGGCATCATTCACAGGATGTTATGCTTAAGCTATCATCAAGTGATAGTTCTGGCTGCTCAAAACAGGTTTAATTGCAGAGATGCTATCTGGCACTAGGCAGGCCTATGACCATTGGCCATTGTATTACTGCCAGCCAACAAGGTTTTGGCCATCACAGTTCAAGTGTATTTGAGAAGTTGGTTGTGCAGTTTCACATTATGCTACTTAGTCCATAATTCACAAATTATAAAGTACAGAACAGTGTTTTATTATGAAATCTCTTATCACCAAATGTTTAAAAGTATTCAAGCTCTCCTTCTCAGAAAAAACACTGTTGATTGTACTAGTGACTAATAATAAAATTGTACTTAAGTCAGAAGTCATGCTTTACAAATAAACACTCTTGTCTTGAGGATAAGAATACTCTACTCAAGAGTGAATAAAGCTAGGTCCCCTGCAGTGCATGAAGGCGATTCCCAGAAGTTAAGTACTGGACTATTTTCCTCTGATTTCAGCTATCGGCTTTCTAGCCAAGTTCAGCCTTCCACATTACAACATCAACTCTTTGTCAATGCCTCTGGTAGAAAGTTCTTCACAATATTTAACATATAGTCTCTCACCTGCAGAAAATATTCCATTCTCCTCTCAAGTTACTTACAAGAGGGATTAGAACTGAATAAAAGCAGCTAAAACCTAATGATTTCCCAGGTCTTCAGGAACTCTTTTCATGCTTCTAGGCACAAAGTCTGTAAAGTTAATCTCTGAACAACATATCAGGCTTACAAGTACAAAAGAAGTGCCAATTGAGCTCATTTTATCTTCTCCATTCCCTTTTGAACTTTTGACATACTAGCCCAGCCAGCAAGTTGAGGAAAGGGACAGTTAGAGTATTTGTTTTCCCTTCAAGTTGAAAAATCTTCTCCAATTTTGATCATAAGAAATGTTCAAACTGAAGAGTGTGCCAGTAAGCTCCCAGTGAATTAAGTGGCTTACAAGTCAAGTTGACAACCACATACTAAAGGAAAATGTGTGGCCCCACCCCTTTGTTCTGGATAAGAGTTACTATCCATTGAGATCAACTTTTAAACCTTATGCTTCTTAAAACCCAGAAACTGCAGCAATTGTACTTCCTCCAGAAATCAGTACTGATAGAGCAGTGTTCTTCAGAAATGCAGCTGTTAGAAAGGACCTATTTTTAAAAAGCAATTTGAGAGTTCTGTTTTATACTGCTTAACCTATTTACATCTTAGGTCCTTATTTTTAACTCAGGATATATTTGCATCTGAGGTTACTGTATGTGCCTTTTTTTATCATGAAGGACTATCACCCTGTTTGAGCAGGCCACTCTCCCCTTCAGTAGGAATGGTTTCTGCATGTCCTGCTGCCTCCATCTACCATGTGTAGCTGGTTTTCATCAGCAGCTGTCTGGCTTGCTTGAAGTGTGGGCTTTCAGTGGGTAAGCATTAGGTAAAAGGAGACAACACTAAAGTATCAACAGAAACTTTCAATTTCTATCGAAGTGTCACTTCAAGACCATACAGGGTATCAAAATTACCCTCAGTTTCAGTTTATGTTAAGAGTGATCAATGGTTAGTTACTGAGGTGCCAGTAGCTATTTTGAACACAGTACTTTGTCCACCTGCTAGAACAGAGATAAGAGTAAGGCACAAAACTTGGAAGTCAGGCTAGTTTCACTTTTTACAAACATTTCTCCCCATGCTAGTTCAGCACTACAGTGTCAGCTTTCTGGCCTGCTGATCTGCCAAGTCTACTGTCATGAAACTCATGACCCAGTTTGGCACAGCCCCCAGAGCATGGCTCATTCCTCTGATAAATTCAGCATAATTACTGCAGCAATTGTTTCTTGAACAGGGCAATCATTAGTCTCATTTTTACCAAGCCCATTTTGAACAACTTTCTAGTCTAACATCATGCCTCTTCACAGCTTGAACACAAGCCCTCAACCTGAAAGGATTATGCATTACCTGAGGCATTAGGCAACCAGAAGTCTCTAGTTGGAATTGCTGATAAAGCATTATTCCAGAATAATAAACCAGCTCTGCAGAAGGCCCACATAGCCCAAAAGCCTAAGCACAGGAAGACACTAAGAAAAGACAGACTGTCCAGCACTGTTTCTGTATCAGATTGTATGTAGACACCCATTAGGCTTTATCTGACCACAGTCAAACCAACAGTCTGTGTGCTGCTGGATGAGTTAACAGCCAAGCCAGTACACTGGAATAAACATTGTCATTTAACTTGGCACCAGTTCTGACATAGTTAAACAGCAGATGAGTAAACCCAGGCCCTTAAGTTACTCCTGCATTCCTCCACTCAGATACCAAATGAGTTTCTACAGTCATTTGGCTTGTTTGCTGTGTTCATTTTGCGTTCAATCAAACCAGTAACAGGAAGCAGTGGTTTCCTGCTAATAGATTTCAGGTCAAACCCTGCATTCTTAGTAAGCATATTTCTTCAGCTACATTTATATTACTGAAACATATGCAAACTAAGTCCCACTCCAAGCTCAGGATGTTCCCACTTCATCTCAGAAGCAAATGACAGTCCTAAGATAGCAGCCTGGATTACCAGGCAGCAATCTTCTAGATGTTACTACAGCCAATCCCTGAGCTATGCCCAGTTAGGAGTCTAAAACTTGTTATGAAGTGCACAAGTGAGGAGACTTTCACAGGCAGAATGCAAGTAGTTTGAGTACTCGTCAATACTGTCCATTCAGCTTCAGATACACAGCTCTCTGATGCAGCCATTCTGGTATACAAGCTACCTTAAACACAGGAGAACAAAGTATTAAATACATTAGTTTATAATTCTAAGTAACTTTTCTGTTACCTAGACTAATTTAATCCAGTGAGTGGAAAAAGCCTTGCAAACAGACTTGCTCCTACAAATTTCTTTCTAGACAAATTGAATGCAAATAGCATCCAGGTTCCTTCAAAGGCCATGCTGCAGCTCCACATGATTGACCCCAAATGCCACTGCAGCCCAGTCCACCCCCACAACTGTAAAAACTCCACAGCTGTAGTTGTCCAAGACAGTTTCAGGTAAATTTGATTACTTGCCTCATCTGCCAATGTAATGCTCAGCAGCAGCACTGTGTTGCTCATATCTCTCACTCCTAACAGACTGAGAATAAAGCTGCACTGTTGCCATAGCACCTACTTTGATGTTGTCTTTTCAAGTAGGTTCTGGTAGCCTTGATACAACTCTATTTCCATTAAAATAGAGTGAAAGAAAGCACTCAGCTCACTTTTTATGGAAGTTTGCGGCCTTGACTCTCAGAAACTAAACTCAAGCTTCTTCCCATCTCTCCATACAAGCTGTAATCTTTGTCAAGAGACTACACCCTTTGGCTACATTTTACAGTCAGCCACTGGGAGCTCTGGGGTATTACAGTAAGTAGCATTCAGGGTGGATAAAATATGGTTTTCTTAATGCAATAGTCTGCTGTCTTTTAGTACAAAAAAAAGGCTCTGTCAGTCCACTGTTCTTGCCGAAACCTTGCCAATGGTTTGTTTCCTTCCTGACTTGACATAAGCAGCTACCTCCCCATTTCCTACAATTATAAAAAGCAAGAAAAGGCAAACGTGCTCTAAAGTTCACTTGCTAGAAGTTTAGATTTTCACTGTTTAGTTTACTGAAAGAAAAACTTTCTCAACTGCAAAAGGTCAGATAAG